TAGGAAGGATCGCTGCAGATGTTGTTTGTCCGAGGGAAACACCTTACTGCTGTCACATCCCTCTACAGTCAGCAGTACGACTTCGCCTTCAGACCTTGAGTTGCTGCTTTTAGTCTTACCGTTCTCCAATTGGCCTGCTTGGCATGGTAGAACCTACAGGAACATATATTCCAGCCAATATAGCTCGGTTGGGTCACCACGATAGGCAAACCCGACCACCACGTCAAGGAAGCAGCTACGGTCGAGCACAAAGTTACATGGGTTACACCAGATTACACTACAGAGAACCAGATCGATCACATTTGTATAAATAAAAGATTCAAGATGCAAGAATAAAGAAAGTATCTGATATAGACTCAGATCACTACCTATTAGTGGCGAGGTTAAACCTGAATCGAAAGAAGAACTGGACCATTGAAAAAACAGCACTACAGACGTTTAATACAAACTTTCTTTGAGATGTTAACGAAATCAGCGAACCCAAGACAGAGCTAAACGACAAGTTCCAAGGCTTACAAGCTTTACTCAAAGAGGAAACCAATATGAAGAACTGGAAAAGAATTAAAGAAGTAATAACCTCGACATGATAGAAGGTTCTGTTCCGCAAAAGTCATCAGTAGATAGGAATTATCAATTTACATTAACTCCTTTGATTATGAAGAGGCGTTCGACAGATCGGGTAGGAAAACTCTGTAGATCGCCAACATTATACGGAACTGTCACCCAAAATCAGAGTCAGGAATTTCAATATAAAGGTTAGAATAGTTCTATAGTACGAAGCTGAAACAAGTAATCATCATAAAAAGGGTACAAGTATTTATAAACAGCTATCTGAGTAAAATAGTCTACATTTATTGGCCGGTGACAATCGGTAATAACGTACCCTGGTAGCGAACAAACCAGCTGCTAGTTGAGGAGACTATGTAAATACGCTGGATAGATAGGACATACTTTGCGGAAATCACTGACTACATCAAGAGGCAAGCCCTAACTTTGAAATGTTGTAAGAGATGATTTAACTATGAGGTAAAAACATTCTATGCTAGTTTTCTACGATTTTATTTATATGTTGATTGGATATTTAATGAGTATCTTGGTTTTATTATTTTCATATTATCCTAGTTCCGAGCTTTTATTTGAACCGTAAATTGTTGCTATAGCATTTTTCAATCATAAACTGAAACCAATTATTTGTACACCTAGTACTCCGTTTTACCCTTTCTTAGTGTTGTTTTCCGTGGTAATACTGTTACTCAATTAGTATGCTGCATGATCTGGTCTTGTACATACACATGAGTGTCTGAAATATAATAACGATCTTGGACTGGTAATCATTAGTTTTTTTGTTTTTCCTCTTCGTTCGAGGAAAGTTAGTATTGGGCCAACCGTCAGGAATAGAATATCAGTTTCCCTTGTCCTTGCTGCGTATTGGTTGCTTAAAGTCGTCTACGCGCATTGGTCTGTGGTAGGGCATAACAGGATTGCTAAAATTCAGTGGCAACACCATGTCAGTAATGCAGAGGTTCGGCATCGTGTGTTCGGGCACAGAGATGATAATTCAATTGATGTCACCATCTTAAAACATCGACTTCGGTGGCTTGGACATGTTCTCCGAATGTCGTCCCAGAGAATTCCACGTCGTGCATTATTTGCCGACTCTAGGACTGGTTGGAAGAAGCGGAGAGGTGGTCAGTGCATGACACGGTGTCGTGGCATGAAAGAAAGCTGCAAAGGACTGGCTTCTGTCGGTCCTTCACGACTCCCTGGTTGGGGTCCGAGAGATGATGCTAGACAGTGGCTAGAGACGTTATCAGATATGGCTCAGAATAGAAGCCAGTGGCGATCCTGCTGTAACTTTCTTTTACTTTCTTCATAAAAAGTGGTTGTGTCTCCCTTAACTGAAAGATTTCTTCTGATTGTACCTCGTTACTACCACACTACCTTACACCAATCTCTTCGTTATTGTTCTCTTTTTTTGCGCTCCTTAGCTTTTTTTCTATTTCTCTTCGAATTCTCATTGTTTTGTGTGGCGCATATATATTGGCGCTCTCTTGTACCAATATTTATGTGTTCAAATAAAATAAATAAATAAGGCAAAAGTAAGAGAAGTAAATAAAAGAAAATATTGTCCTGGGAATCGTAGGTAGACATCAAGACCATGAATACCACTTGTCAACAACTAGAGAAGAGAGTCCAAGACAGAGCTGGTTGGAGAACTATGTTCCGGAACGGTAACAGACCAAAGCGAATACTCATAAAATTAGATAATTTGATGAATGACATAATATCCACTCGGGAATAAAACATTGTTAGGCTTATACAAGCATGTATCACAGGTCGATGTTGAAATAAAAACTTGATGAATTCATAGATTAAATTCTTGTGGCAAAATAATATGATAGGTCTGACCAATGTAAATAAAAAAGCTAAGATCTTATTCAACAAACTGTTGAGTAAACACCAAATAAGTTGAAGATTTATCGATGTGATCATCTTAACTAACTTTCTGTAGATCACTAACTGAAGTGAAGGACCCTTACCCCTTTAGGATATATAATTGTGCATAAAACAAACAAGCTTAAACTTGTGTTCATTTAGTTTTTTATTTATTTTCATTCGCTGAAAAATCCCTTACACTAAGTCATGAAACGTAAGATATTTAATTTTATATTCAATGGAATTTTACAATAATATGAATTCTATAATCAAGTCAAAACTTAGTAATGACACTCACAAATAAGCCTCTGCCAGGGAAGTCCTACTCACTGCCTTCTCGTGGAAGGGGTATTGTCTACGAAAATGAGAGGACGAAAAGCAAATGTCCGGCGCTTTAACCGGGTTGGTGGACATGAAAAGTCCACTTAGGGGAGTTGAAAAACCCTGATTCTAAACCAATGATGCACATGGGCTCCAGGATCCTGAGGGAAAAAATGGCGTATGAACCAGTCGTTGGTCACCAGCTACCACGGGACTGCATCTCCTCACGAAGCTCCACTGACTTGTGGATCAGACCTTTAGGTCAAAGGCTCCGGGTGTGGTCCACTAAGAAAACCACCTGCTTCGGTCTGGGCACCCGGGCAGTATCACAGCCCACACACAAATCAAATGAGATTTGTGTGGCGCATATGTATCTGGTGCCCCCCTTGTACCAGTATTTATGTGTTCAAATAAATAAATAAATAACTTGTTGAACGACATTTATGTAGTCAACAATTAAATTCATCTCTACCCTAGTTTTGCGAAATACGTTAAGAAGTGATGTAGAAATCAGTTAATAAATTTACAAGTTTGCTAGACGAAACGTTGGAATTATTTAAATTGTAATCGCTGAGATTATTTCAAATATAATTTTCACCTATAATGACTTCTCTATACGCTGCGCCCAATTTTTGTCAAACTATTCGTTCTAATATTGACGAATATTCGTATAAATATTCATTGTGATATAAACCATGAACAAACATTATTTACTTTTAACTCTTTAATTTAGTTTAAAATTTTACTAAAAAAACATTTCACAGCATCTAAAAAAATAAGGTTTAAAGACTGAGTGTATAGAGCAACAGGATTTTTGGAGCGAAAAACTCGAAACGTAACGTACACTAACTGTATATATATCTAGAAACATACACTCTCACGAAATGCAAAATTTGTTAGCCCACTATGTTATTACTGGGGCGCTGTTCCATACGTATGTAATTCCACACGGCATGAAGTATAAAGTACATTGAAAAATATGGTTTTTGTTTCTAATCTTAAAATAAGCGATGTTAACCACACAAAAAGCAATCTATCTGATAACTAACTCACAATACATCTTTTGTCAAGTGAGGTTACAGTCTACTTATGAGAATAATGACATTTTGTCATTTTTATATTTAAGAATAGCTTACAATTACTCTAAATTGAGCGACTGAAAGATCTCTTTTAATAACAGACGAGATCTATGACTTCTAGAAAGCATTATCACTATCCCCCACAACGCTTCTATATTGATAACCTAACCCCAACGAGACCGAAGAGAGAACGTGGGAATTCAGAAAAAGCTTGACATTCCATCCAAGAAATCAAAATTGTGGCACACGGAAGGCGAAAGCGATTGACCAGATAAGAGGTCAGTGGGGTGGAAGGGATTAAAAATTTACAAAGAACATCCATGTTTGTTAGAACTACAACTCATTAAGATCGAGGTAATTTGAAGCCTTCCTAGCAGCATTTGACTTTCTGGTAAGTCAAGAAAAGGCGTGTTCATATTTGCTTTAACTAGACGTGACATTTTACGACGTTGGCTTTATTCCCGATGAGATATTTTAGCTACCGCAATGTTAATCTTATATTAGACAGTGTGACATTATTTCAGGTCAACATGTTCTGTATCGATCAAGTGTCAATTCCATCCAATATAACAATTGCGGACTTTCGTTCAGTGTGACAACTATATGCTTGTATTGTTCTTTATGAACTTCGTATTTGCTTTACAGTAACCCTGTCTCTTTTTATTTATATGGTTACAAACATCATCATGAATGTACAAAATCAGTTCATAAGTGAGCGTATCTGTCTGAACGAAGTGTTTTGGAGAGTTAATAAATCTTCATTTTCACCAGTCTTCGGTGTTCTTAGTCTGCATTATGAGAATCACAGTGGTTCTTGATCACCATGTTTAAGCAGTTGGACCGCGGACACAAAGAAGGAGACACAAGCATAACAGTGGCAACAGGGTTAATTTATAAGTTTTACCAGTTAGACAGTGCCATTATATTGATTACAATAGATAGATAAAGGAACTCGTGTATGACTAGTGTTATAAATAAAGTCAAATTGTGGAAAAATCTATTACGTTGCTGTATAGCTCGAATAACATGCTTCTTTTCTAAACGAATAGAAGAAGGGTTTTTGGTTTACTCAGAGAGAAGTTAATACAAAACTTCAAGGAAACATAAAGGTTCAAAATATGTAATAAACAGTATGTGTAGTAAATAATTGAAATTATATCTTACTCTATGATCAAAGGTTATTCCAAATTCACGCTCCAACCGAGTTAGTAAAGCTGCCTTGCAACTAGAATACAGCATTCGGCTTTTTATTGGGCTTTGATTGCCAGAAATTGTATGAATAAAAACTGAAACAGAAAGACGAACAAAAAGTTTCCTGAGAATAAAATTCATTATCAACAACTGCAAAACTTTACAACAAATAGGTCAATACATCCAAATAATAGCATCGTACACTAATTCTACCTGGATCTCGACAGTACTGACCAAATTATCACACTGAAACTGATTAGGACGCAATTATTGCCACTTATCAATTAAAAATAGGTTGTTGACAATCACAGTCGCCCCCAAACGCTCTGGTATGGCCGAGAGTGCAAAGTACACCTACAAGACTGGCAGGATCCTAATCCTGTACTCACCCTCGATGGTGAGCAGATAGAAGTAGTCGAGAAGTTCGTGTATCTAGGTAACTGCACGAGTGCTGGTGGTGGCATGAGTGATGAGATCAATACACGTATAGTGAAAGCCAGAGCGGCTTATGCCAATCTGGGTCATCTTTGGCGCCTTCGTGATGTCAGTCTGGCTGATAAAGATTGGATCTACAACGCGTCGGTGAAAGCAGTTTTGCTTTATGCTTATGAAACATGACCTCCCCGAGTTGAGGATGCTAGACGACTCTCTGTGTTCGATCATCGTTGTCTCCGAAGGGTTGCTGACATCCAGTGGCAACACCATGTCAGTAATGCAGAGGTTCGGGATCGTGTGTTCGGGCAAAGAGACGATAATCTAATTGGTGTCACCATCTTGAGACACCGACTTTGGTGGCTTGGACATGTTCTCCGAATGTCGTCCCAGAGAATTTCACGTCGTGCATTATTTGCCGACTCTGTGACTGGCTGGAAAAAGCGGAGAGGTGGTCAATATATGACACGACTCCCTGGCTGGGGTCCGAGAGATGGTGCGACACAGTGGCTAGAGACGTTATCAGATATGGCTCAGAATAGAAGCCAGTGGCGATCCTGCTGTAACTTTCTTTTACTTTCTTCATAAAAAGTGGTTGTTTCTTCCCTAACCGAAAGATTTCTTCTGGTTGTACCTTTTCGTTTCCCCCATTATTATTATTACACTACCTTACACTAATCTCTTCGTTATTGTTCTCCTTTTTTTCATTTTACGCTCCTTGCCTTATTTTTTTCTCTTCCCGTTCTCATTGTTTTGTGTGGCGCATATATATTTGGTGCCCTATTGTACCAATATTTATGTGTTCAAATAAATAAATGACAATCGCAGTCGGACCTCCTGTGAGCTTAGTTCAAGTTATTCTTACGCAGTGACAACTGCTAATTAAAATCTATGTTAATGGCGAGTGAAAACTTGCGTATGATGAAGTCAAATTAGGATTTTTCGATACATTCAAACAAACTGAAATGACTGTTTACTAAGATATTTTGTCCAGATGTGCTTACTTGCCTCATATACTGATATAAATAATAACATGACATCATTTAAATCTGTAGATTCATGTCTGACTGTATTTCAGACAGAATCTCCAAATCTTAAAGTTCAGATACTTCAGCTAATACTATTTTCGCTATTTATTTATCAGCCCTATCAAACACGTAACTCAAAAAAGGTCAAAACAAGTACGTTTGATCGATAATACAATGAAGGTGTTACTTTGTGACATTTCGACTTCTAGAAAAAGAATACTGATTTAAGAACAGGTTTGGGTCAGAAAACTTGAAAATATGAGAAACGGTAATGGATATTCAGGAGACCAGTACCATGGATGCTTCATTAAATAAGAGCGGATAGAGTATTTTGGAATACCTCAACAAAAGCAAAGTTAATGAAAATTTTCTACAGGAGTTCCAAAAAAGTACTTACTGAAATGCATGTTAAACTTACAGGTAGCAGAATGTTCCTCGCCTTCAAGCATATAACGGAAACGAAAAAGATGATAACGACCTTCTTTTTCTGGACAAATTTCTGCTATTTGTTTTGGCGTAATATGTTCACGAGTCCCGCAAACTTTGATAGTTTCACTAAGGATATCACATTTCTGGCAAAAATTACAAACAATAGGTTACGCAACAAAATACCAAGTCGTCGGACTACTTTTTACAGAGATTCAAAGCTACTACCATTATAACAGCTCTCCAACACTTAAGTTCGTTTACGTTCAATTTTATCAACACTTTCAACTAATTTAACAGAATTATTCGAATAGCAACAATTTTTATATCTCGGTTTTATTATTACCATGTCTGCATGAACATGTATGCTTAATCACATGTGACAGCCTATGCACATATCCCTATCTCCAGCTCAAGTGTTAGTTGCCTAAATCGTTCGATAAGTCATTCACTTCGCCATATATATATATATACTTGAATATTATTAATTTATTCGGCTTTTCATTTGATTCTGTATTCGACAATTAATCTGCCCATGTATTTGCTTGCTCATATTAGCGTTTCTGCCCGATTTTGTTTGGCGTGCCTGTGGTTTATTGATCTGTACTATTCGATAACAAACTGTAGTCGGCACTTCGTGTTGCCTTCTGAAATATATAAACCATCGGGATTAATTTAAAAACGGTTATCAAGGCATTCAATGTACAAAACATTGAGAATTATCTTGGAGATAATCCACTACACCACAACGGGTTAAGGTGTAAGTATTATGTATCAACGATTCCTTTTCCCCATGATGATTGTACTCGAATTTCAAAGCAGACCTAAAGGTATAGGTAGCATCAATAACAAAAATGAATTATATCTTTTCTTGCCAAACTAAATTCTTTGTTTAACCTTCCTTAAACGTCATTGATACCACTCATATCCCAAGTTACCTAGGTGATTCAAATTGATGCTTACTTATCCCATGCTTTATGTTAATTATGACAGATAATATTGAGGGTTAATGGCTTGACTGATGTAGCTGATAAGTGAGCCCTGCAATATACATCATTGTCGCTTCAAGTTACAGGTAGAATGGTATGAATTTTTACTAAAATGCAACACAGTATAGACAAACATTTGTTGGTCTTTTACATGTATAGGAACTTATGTTATCAAAACTTTATCATACTCCTAAAATTTGTTTGCCATACCTTTTTATTGGCCGGGATAAAGCATATCATTTCTGCCCGACCGTTGTTGCTACCTTGACGTGGTGGTCGGGCTTGCCTATCGTGATGAAGCAACCGAGCTATACTGGCTGGAACAACCGTTCCTCAAGGTCCTACCATGTCAGACAGGTCGGTTGAAGAGCGGTAAGACTAAAAGCAACAAACCCAAGGTCCGAAGGCGAAGTCGTACTGCTGACTGTACAGAGGTGTGACAGCAGTAAGGTGTTTCCTTCAGACAACCAGCATGACAGCGATGCTGCCTTCCCACAAGGAGGGGCGGGGTTAGAAAAGGTCGACCCTAAAAATGCACACCTCGCCTTATCCCACGGATATCCGTCTCCGGCGGTAAGGTCTCAATACGTACGGAGCTAACACAAAAATTGCCCATAACAAGGTCGTGTGTGACCGACCTCAAGCAGTTGTCCCTTGTGCACTGCGGTCACGCTCTCAGGTCACTAAGACCACCTCTAATCCAATTTCCTTTTCAGGTACCTCCAAAACAACCCTTCCACGGTGTGGGCAACCGGGAAGTGAAAACCGCCCTCATACCTCTAACAGCACTCAAGACCACTGTATTCATAATCAACCTTCCTCTTCAATTCCTATTATTCCTCCTACATCGACTTTCAACTTTAAATTTCCTCTCTCGGCTTCCACCTCAAGTGCCACCATAGCCAACGATTTTAGTGCGCAAAATACTGTCCCAGGTCTACTGAAACCTTGCTCCAAACTACACATTGGAGCCTTCAACGTACGAACCCTATGTCAAATCGGTCAGCAGGCTTCCTTGGCTAAAACCCTAGAGTCTCTTACCATTGACGTGTGCTGTGTCTCCGAAACACGCATACAGGATTCCAGTGTGGTCATTCACTTGACCTCACCTCGGCAAAACGGAGAGCCAACGAGGTACACCCTTCGTGTATCTGGTGACCCGATGGCAAGTTCTCGTGGACTGGCAGGTGTAGGCATAGCACTAAGCATGAGGGCCGAACAAGCACTGCTAGAGTGGATCCCCGTCAACAGTCGTCTATGTGCTGTTCGGCTGAACGGCTACGTAAGAACTCGGAAGGATAGGGACACACGTCGTTGCCTTTTTGTCGTTTCTGCCTACGCTCCCACTGACTGCAGCTCAGATGATGTGAAAGATGAATTTTACAGAAAGCTGTCCGAACTTCTTCAGAAAGCTAAACGCTCAGACATAGTACTCGTAGCAGGTGATTTTAATGCTCAGATAGGCAGTTTAAACCAAACAGAAAGGCATTTAGGTGGATATTTTAGTATTCCGACACAGCGAACAGATAATGGTGATCGTCTGCTGCAGCTATGCTCAGACAATCGTTTATTTTTAGCAAACAAATTTTAAGCATAAGGAGAGACATTGTCTAACATGGCGACCCCCTACACCAAACCAACGATGGACTCAAATAGACCATATTGCCATCAGTCATCGTTGGAGAGGGTCGGTAGAAGATTGTCGCTCATTCTGGAGTACCTGCTTGGACTTCGACCATGCCCTAATACGGGCACGCATCTGCTTGCGCCTCACTGGACGCAAAAAAGCCACATTAAAAAAACCCGTTAGAACTGAGTTGAGTAACGAGAAAACCAAAAGTAGGTTCCAGGAACAACTGAGGTCACACTTAGGTAGTTGTGAAGACGAGGCTGACCCAGATGTTGCTTGGAAGGGCATACAATCAGCTGTGGAAACAGCAGTGACATCTATTAGTGACTTAAACCACAGAGTTGCAAGGAACCAGTGGATTTCTTCAAGGTCTGTCACACTGATGGATTCTCGCAAACTCGTCCCATCAGGTTCTGAACATGATGAAGAGCGAAAACAAATCAGATCTAGGTTAAGAAAAAGTCTAAGAAACGACCGTGAGCAGTGGTGGGCATCGAAAGCAAAAGAGATGGAAAAGGCGGCGACTATAGGGAACACAAGACAGCTTTACAGACTAATAAAAGAAACTGGAATTAATAAGTCAAGTGTAAGTGAGATTATATCGGAAAAAGACGATACACTCATCTGCTCCAAGTCCAGGCGTCTAGAACGATGGGCGGAACACTTTAGGGAACAGTTCAACTGGCCTTCAGCGACTCTACAACTACCCTCCATTCCCAGACAATGTGAATGGAACATTGAAGTAGGTCCCCCAACTCTTGCTGAAGTTCAAAAGGCTATAGTTAATCTGAAACGAGGAAGGGCAGCTGGTCCAGATGGATTGGCTCCAGAGGTCTTTAAGGATGGTGGTCCAATTTTAGCGATTAAGTTGACTAATATTTTAGCTAAGATCCGGGAATTAGACTTTATCCCATCTGACTGGTCGCAATCACTTATCGTCCCAATATATAAGAAAGGGTCAAAATCATCCTGTGACAACCACAGAGGGATTAGTTTAACAAACATAGTATCTAAAATACTGGCCTCGATAATTATCAAACGCCTAACGAAGACTCGTGAACTACAAACTCGAGAGAATCAAGCTGGCTTTAGACCTGGTCGTGGCTGCATCGACCACATATTCACCATTCGTCAGGTTCTAGAACACAGGCATACCTATCGGCGTCCGACGATGGTGGTATTTCTTGACTTAAAAGCAGCATTTGACTCGGTAGACCGCGAGACTCTGTGGCAATGTCTGTCATTGAAAGGCGTACCTCAGAAGTACATAAACCTTGTGAAGGCTCTTTACTCGAACACTACTAGTCGAGTCAGGGCTTATGGCGAACTGTCATCTACTTTTGCAACCTCAAGTGGTGTCCGTCAAGGCTGTCCACTTTCTCCATTTCTGTTTAACTTCATCATAGACCTATTGATGGAAATAACACTCTCGTCGACTGAATTCTCGGGCATTGATCTCCTTCCAGGAGGTCCACTTATCGACTTAGAATACGCAGATGACATAGTCCTGTTTGGTGAAGACGCTGACAAAATGCAGAGTCTTCTGGTAGCACTAAGCAACAATGCCAGAATGTTTGGGATGTGCTTCTCTCCCTCTAAATGCAAGTTGTTGCTTCAGGACTGGTCTGGGTCAACACCTGAACTAAGGATAGGGAGTGAAGTAGTTGAACGCGTTGACAACTTCACTTATCTTGGAAGTCTGATCAGCCCTAATGGGTTGGTGTCTGACGAAATCTCAGCACGGATTCGAAAAGCTCGTTTGGCTTTTGCCAACTTACGTCACCTATGGCGAAGGCGAGATATCCGTCTATCAATAAAAGGACGAGTATACTGCGCGGCAGTTCGTTCTGTTTTAATTTACGGCAGCGAAACATGGCCCTTAAGAGTAGAAGACACCCGTAAGTTACTAGTATTTGACCACAGATGCCTTAGAAATACTGCTGGCATCTGCTGGGATCACCGGGTAAGTAATAGTGAGGTTAGACGCAGGGTATTAGGGAATGATGGTAAATCAGTTGATGAGGTTATGAATCTTCATCGACTGAGATGGTTGGGCCACGTATTACGTATGCCTGAACACCGATTACCACGACGTGCAATGCTAACCGGGGTAGGGGATGGTTGGAAGAAAGTTAGGGGCGGCCAAACCAAAACGTGGCATCAGTGCCTGAAGTCACTGACTTCTAGTCTGAGCCATGTTGGTAGATGCAGACTACTTGGTTGGGGTCTGCGTGACTTTCGTAACCAATGGTTGGAGACTCTTGGTGACATGGCTCAGAATCGATCACAATGGCGTCGGTGTATACACTCCCTGTCTTCCCTTAAACTAAGAGACTAAAATCACTTCATTCTTTCTGTCTACGAACTAATTCTTTCTTCCTATACTATATCCTTATTGCAACCTTTGACCTAACCACTCCTATGAATCCGCTGTTCATCTTGCTGTGCTAATGAGGTATGGCAACCTGGACCGATGCACATATGTGCCTGGTCCTACGTTGTAGCTGACTGACTCTTAAATGAATGAGAAATTAGACAACTAAATATCACCAAACATAGAGAATAGAACTTTACAATGATTCCAAGTTAAAATGAAACCTCTATCAGCTTAGTAACAAACCAAATACAAACTATTCTACTTTTTATGGAAGTATAATTGCTTGAATATTCATTTGAAGTATTTCTTATCCGCTAATTACAATAGAAGTCACCAGAATGTACTACTTACACGTCGTGAATTGAGAGATAATACAGAGAAAACGCTAGATCATCAATTATACCGAAGTACACTTCTATTAAAATGACATATCACCATAGTTATTAGCACGGTCTAAAATCAGCAACTAAACAAAATGAATTTAATAAACAATTTAACAGAGAAAATAGAGGGTTTTGTAGTTTTATTTGTCATACAAAAATTGATAGATGTTGAACACCGAGTCTATTCTATCTGTTGAGAACCAACGAATGGGTTTTTAATGCAAATCCTAATACGGAATACCTCAGTTCAAATAGAAATGTCCGTGTGATGTGATATGACTCATTACATGCACGTAGGTAACATGGGCATACACGAAACGACTCGTGTGACTTTGATTGTTCATGTTTTCTTAAGTACCACTCTTAAAATAACGTTTTTCATCACAGAGTACAAGTAATGCATGCCATAGGTTAAGTATGTAATAATTTCGTTTCAGTGTTTAAAATCCCAACTAGAATGTAGAAGATCAATCTTAACTGTCTTAACACGTTTTACACATTGACCAAACTTACTAACTGAACGTAATCACACTCTCCCGAACCAAAATTCTTTAACACAGAGCGAGAATCAGGACTAAGCGCGAATGAAACACCACCGATTGTTTGATAGCTGGAGTGCAGTCCAGTGGTCACCTTTAGGTATATGAATGAAACGTCAACATACTTCTCCTGTGTGTATGCCAGCCACCTCAATTTCAGCTTCAGTATAAGGTCCAGGTGCAGTTTTACTTTCCATAATTTTTTTATAGGCCCTTAAGTTCATTTCACCCTTAAAATGTAAGCAAGAATTGCAGAACCTACCACACAATTTATTGTTATATCATCCTTAATTAAGTTATCTCCAAACTGCTTAAGAACAGTTGCTTTAGTGGCTGCATATATCGTTTTTAGACGCACCTAACGAATAGTTGAAGTGATATTATTACATTAATTCAACCAAAACCTACGTCAGAACCTTCAGGAACATAACATATAAAGATCCAGTCGCTTCCAAAAGAGTTGACGGAATCAAGACGATAAAACACATAACACGGAGAGCTGGCATCTAAAAGCTTCCCCATCGCAACATCAAAATCATCTTCCCAAGAACCTTTAGATGGTATTTTCATAAGTAAAACTATCTTTTCTTTATCTATGATGAGCTTCACGGCTCTATACGAAAGGCTTTTACAATCTGCTAGTTTAGATGTTTCATATGGGTCAGCTAAAAATAAATAAACCAACTAACAAAGTATTATTACCGTGAATACCACTTTGGAGAGTCATTCGTACTGCCGCCTTCGAAATAAACAGCAGAACAGAATTCAAACATCAAACATTGTTGGAAAAACAGTGAATTATTCATTCTGTTGGTACTGTAGCTACTTTTTCATAGGACGTTTTTAGTCATGTCCAGGTCTATTCCTGCCACTGTGCTTCAGAAATCTGCTAAAATGAGCTAAATCTCAGTGGAAAGTTTTGAACACTATATTTTGGCTATCTCAAAAACATGAACTATTGAAAGTATGGATTTCGGTCTAGAAATATTTGAATAAGGTTCCTTAACAGATGTCTTGTCATCTCACTTCTGCCCATCCTACAAGAAGTGATCACACTTCAGTTAAGTATATGCTCTCGGTTATATTTTGGAAAGTTGTAGTGACCTACTTTTATCAAGAGAACGCGATTGGTTTAATGGAAACAATTATTATAACCAATTGTACCCGTGATTGTTTAACTGTACTAAAGACATCCATTATTCTTCCATTACTCTCTTCCATTGATTGTGACCTTGTACGCTCTTACGTTTGCCCACTGATTACATTCGTATTTCTTTGGCACGATCTTCATATTCTTTCGACACTAAGAGATCGCCAACGAATATATCTCGTTACAACCTGCAACCGCCATCCGATTTCTGGTGCGCAACCCTCCTGTAATGGTACTTATGGTCGAACGCGACTCGACGCCACACTACACAATAAAGTCTCTTTATACCATAATAAAATCATTCTAGGCTGTCAGACTAACCCACGTGAATCTGTGAGAAAATTATAGAGTTGCTAAGGAGTAGGAGCCGTCTTTGAAAAATATTCTTCAAAACTAAACATGATGTATTCGTGCTCAAGTACAGAGTTATATGCATAACTGCCACCGCACGATCTTTTATTTTACACAGCAGCAAACCTATGATTTATTTAGTGCCACTTCATTCTACCGCTTGGTTTGGTTTCACCGTTATTGTATGGAAGCAAATTCGTAGTTAGAGACTTGTTGTCTATATCTGTTGTTAAGCAGCTTGAAAATTCAGGCGAAACACGAGTAACGCGCGTTTGAACTGAGAACTGTAGGCCGGTTAGTAGGACTCGTCAACAGTGTTCACTGGATGAGTCATTAGATTTTTACGACAGGGAATAATCGTAAACGTTTGGCTTACAACGATCTTTAAATGTCTCTCATGTTAAAACGCATGTAAATAATGCAACTAGATCGATAAGAATGATTGGCACCGGTAGTTACAAGTTGTGACGGAGACATATCACCTAATGTTTCCCTCTGGAAAAGCATCTGCATTCTTTGACTGACCGACAAAAATAAACAATTTATCATCTCACGTCTTGAAATAATGTGTAGTTATGACATCGGGGGACTCGAAACTAAGTCACGAACTTCGTTGTCATCTAAAGAAGAGAGAAATGTCGGTTGAATGACATGTCACTTTGGGTCCCATAGCTTGATGGGGAATCACTAACTCGTTCAGTGTTTGACCATTTTTGTATGACCAATGAACACCACTGGTCAATCAATATCCAGAGATAGTCTATAAATGTCACATACTTTGTTAGCTTTTCTTAGCATCATTTAACATCTTTCCACAGATTATCGTATACGATTTATTTTCGATGCTGTCTACATGAACTCAGAGCTAGTAAGAGAATGGAAGGTAAAAAATCGAGACATGAATAACTCAAACGGTGTCATGGACAAGCAACCAAACACCACGCTGGTGAAGCTCTACTTTCCCATGCTCTGTCTGGCTACCAGGTGTTTACTCATCGGTCTGATGAGTCGTTCTAAGGTCAAAAACGAAGAATCTATTTCGGAAAAAGAAGCAGATAAATTCAGTCGAACCCGAATAAATTAACAGTGTTTGTATAAAATAATCAGATACAAAAACTGAATGTTCAGTTAAACATTAATGTTTGGTCTCGCAGTACATCTTGGGCACGAGTACGCATTAAAATAGGACGTCTTCAGAAAAGTTAAAAAAACTCAGAGCTGAATCCCAGGTTCGAATAGGCTTCTTAAGGTTCGTGGTATGATAGAACGTTTATAGACTAACCATTCGGTTGGCTTTATGTTGACATGCCTACCATAATGAAGCCATATTTCCTAAAGTCACTAGAGAACCGGGTTGTTTTTCACCTTACAAGTGTACATATTCTATTATTCACAAATATTGCCAATAATCGATTAGTGTAGGGAAATATTAGAGTTAGGCCTACTACGACTGGATGAGGTTTATCTGCCAAGTACTAATCTAGCGTTCAGAATGACAATGATACGAGTGCGTGTTTGTGCAGTGTTATTGATCACGAAACCTGCACTCATATACGATGTTCGCTGATTCCTGGTTGCTCATATATGAAAAAAGGTATAAAGATACTTGGTAGGTTCTCAAACTTAGGTGCCTTCTGCAGTTCATATGTACTATTGACTATTCTTGTGGTTAACGAAATATGAGTTCATAATTTATAGTGGGAATATTGTAAGTATAAATCGCAACTTTAATGAACACTAATGTTATCAAACAAAACATAAAAAATTTAGCTGTGCAGTAAATATATTGGTTGCACACCGCGGTAGTTTTGCCTTACATCCTGAATGCCTTTAATGTTTCAGAATACATCTACGTTTATCAATTCAAAAATGTTAGCAAGTAAAATGAATATTTTGAAAAAGGTGGTGTGACGACCGAAATAGCAATATTCGGTTTGCATTCCGAACTAACCAACCAAAGTTTATTAGAGCAAGTCAAACTACGTTCTCCTGTACGGCGTCCGAAACATTTTTGAGTGACTCGTATCAACTTAATTCAAAACACAAACGCTGCGTCCGGTTTAGATTATAATTTACGAGCGAAGACAAACCATATCGCAATACCCCGAAAGGTATAACCTGTGATTTATAGTCAAAGGTTTCTCTAACGCAAATTTAAGCGCTAAACAAAAAAGGAATAGCTAATAAATAATAATTCGATTACCGAGAATCAATAAGAACATTCTTAACACGATGGGATCCGATATTCATCTTCAGGGATTCCAGCAAACTTCCAAGCAGACAATAAAAAATTAACAGCAATACAATGACATTGATTTTAACCAGACATGACTTTATTGTCAATAGTTCGGGAAGATGCAACAGTAAATTAAGTAATGAAAGGTAAATCTTTGACCGAGACCAGATAAGCAAAACCTCGACACGAAAGACTGAAGAACATTATATGTGGTTAAAACGAGACGTAAATGAAGGTTAAGATACAAGACAGGGAGAAGGAACAAATGAATGACAACAGTGTCCGATGAAATGCTGGGAAGGCATTTTCAGTGTTTTCTTTCCGTAACAGTAAGTTGGTTTAAGTTGCCTCATTAAATTACAAATCATGTTCCAGAAATACTTGTAATCGTAGCGCATGGTATTTATGACAGTGGAAATGAGAACCAATATTAGGTGTTGAGTTGTTGTTTAATCTAAAATTCTTCATCTAAAAACAACATACATTTGTACAGTAGTATCTTGTCTTGTTAAACAACCGAATGTATCTCATTAAAAAAGAGCTTTGGAGTGATGCTTCCATGATATTATATATGATTAGTCTAAATGAATTAAAACGATGCACAAAAATGATAGATCACCTAGTAAACTATTGGAAGTAGTCTGATTTGCCTTCAAAGTTAGTCGTTGTTACAAGAATTCACCGTATGGGTTTATGGTAAATACAGACAAATATTTTGTCTGATGCATGTTACTCAATTTTATCGCGGTTTCTCAGATTAGCCGAGAAATCTGGAAAGATAGCTAGTTCCACACGCTTTGCCTGCCAAGACCCCTAGCTAAGTCGATTCTCTTGGCGCGAAAATATGAAATTAAAATTTCCGAAATGAAGTTACAAAATTAAGACGTTTACCTAGTCAGTTCTAAGGATTTGTTATCCCCAACACCTCCTTTTTTAATAGCGTACGTTCTTTGGGTCTACATACATGTTGACTGTTCGTCTTTGTTGTCGTATTGACTGCCTGACGGAACGTAGATCGACTTGTCATTGTACTTCTTCCCATACAGAGACTACGGGTAAAAAAAAGTATCCAAAATGATATAGGGTGAGAGATTTACTTCTGTCGATAGGCGATCTGGGACTAGCCGTTTATGTAGTTAATTTCAATACCTAGTCCACCTGTCACTTCCCACATCTACTTTTCACATGACTGAGGAGAATGAGTGAATTCACTCAGCACCAAAAAGACAGGTCTCATGTAGGAGAAACGAAAACATCATCATATCAAGAAAATATTTTATTCCAAATGTGATTTGTGTATATAATCTCCACGTTAAATATACACTTCAACTTAACAGGTGAGCCCGTTATTTTTCCTATTATTATTTTTTGCAAGTATTACATTTTGGTTGGTGGAGCTCACGAAGAGGTGGAAATCATCACATAATTAGACATCATAAGCAGTGAATAAGGAGGGTCTGATTGATATGTGAATTCAAGTATTGGCAATACAAGTGCAGCGTTCTTACAATTAGTGTATCTGAAACTCTACTATTAAGATTATTACAGTCTCCACAAGACTCTAATTCTGATCACTGTCATCATGTGCTTACTAGTGTGTGAATTCAAGCTGATTTCTTGGAGTTCTAATTAGAAGCCGTGACCAATGAATTCCGATCTGTGTCGGGTAGAGACAGGTATCTATCTCAGACGATAGATGAATAGTTGCGCAAGATCATGGGTCGATTGAAGTTAGATATTAACACCGCTGGATGCTGGTTGAGTGGTCTAGAGGTTAGGCGTTCGCGTGCGAGACTAAGGTACTTTGGAACATCACTTACCAAACGAACGAGTCGTTTTCGTGATCACATAGCAACACCATCTATTTGTCTGTGAAAATTTCTACCGAACTGAAAATGCAGATTCATCCGAGGATCAGTTCTTCAAACAAAGAAATCAAAGTTCTATTTCCTCTGATTTTTTCAGCAGGTTTTGATTGTACACAAAACATAATGTCCCTAGTAAGTCTAATTTGAGTAAAAAACACACTTAGGGATGCTATGAAACTGGTCGTAACTACCAGAGTGGTATGCGCTACTTATGCGTATAGATACAAGTAGTATGTAGTAGGAACTCAAATGCTAACCAGCAAGGGATTCGATCAAAGAAAGAAGGAACAAAAACAGAACTTGGTAAAAATAACAACGGAATTGGGAGAAAAATGGAGCATGTAGAAATAGATATGTAAATCATGTACTTAATGAATGATCTTGATATTTTACAGAGACACTGGTTGGTTCAACGAACGCGACCCTCGATTATTCAGCATTTGTACTAGCCATCTCGTAATAGGCAGAATTAGTCGTAAACAAAACCTTCCTTCCGTCACATCACTAGATATTACGCAGACTATCAATCCTGAGTGTTCAGATTAATGTGCTTTTCAATAAATACCTTTAAGAATTAGTTATTTCATCCACTTAATGTTTCAACTACCTTGTTAATCATATGAAAGTATTGTCACACTTCCAAATCTACGATCCAGACTATTCATAAAAACTACACTGTATCCCATTTTCACCAATATTTTCTTATCAAATCACAGCCTAATTTTAGATCTGTTGTCAAGACGAAATGTAATAACGGTAAGCAAAATGTTATACATATAGGGGTTTGTCACCTGCATACTCGACACAGTTCTCGGTGCATGAATTACCAAGCCGCGCTTGTCTCAACATTAATTGATAATTCGCTTGATATATTACGGTAGTTATGTCATTTTTATTATATGTGATGGCATGGAACCATTGTAATTTTTGAGTGATATTTGTTTGTGTACTCAAGACCGGTTTGAAATATTGACGGTAAGGTCATAATAATAGTGCATGAGACGTGGTACTCACGAGACGAATGCGTCCATTGGAATATTGTTGTATTTATAACTTTTAATTATTCCTGAAGCTGCTACTGGGATCTAAAGATTTAATGTTGAAGTTGCTGTTTATAAAATTAATAAGATATCCGACTAAGTTGTGACTACAAATGTACGCAATCCACCTCCAAGCAATTAACAGAATGAAAATGGACTTAGTCCATTCATCTGACATCTAAAATTGCAAACTTAGGAGTATTGCTAACTGCATGGTATAGCTATCAAGACACACTTAGTCATCCATAAGTAATCAGTTTACTAACAAAATTACGTGAAAAAGTGTATGCGCTTAGTATTAGGAGTATAATAATCATCTAGAATTCTACTACGCAGCATAATCTGTATGCGATATGAATTCGTAATACAAATATTTTATGTCACCCTAGTAGTTTAGTTAAATATTTTGGAGACTGATAATTATTACGCATAAACGAATATAAAATAAGAAATTAAATTACTTACAATGATTAGTGTGTAATCAGATTTTCCTTTATGAAAAGCAATATGCTGTTTTAATTTATTCGGAGCTCCCAAATGCCATGGTACGGCCGAGGGTGGGGAGAATCTGCTCTATCTCTCGAAATACTCACACATGGATATGTGCATAGTCTCTTCCAGGGAAGTCATACGAAATTGAGAGGACGAAAAGCGAATGTCCGGCACTTTAACCATGTTGACGATTACGGATGATCCACTTAGGGGAGTTGGAAAACCTTGATCTCAAACCAATAGTGCACATGGGCTCCAGGATCCTGAAGGAACAAATGGCATATGAACCTATTGTTGGTCACTGGCTACCATGGGATGGCATCTCCTAACGTTGATCCACTGCCTTGTGGATCAAACCTTTAGGTCGAAGGCTCCGGATGTGGCACCCTAAAATACCACCTGGGTACCCAGGCAGTATCACAACCCACATACAAATCAAGTGAATTGTGTGGCGCATATGTATTCGGTATCCTTTTGTAGCAATATTTACGTGTTCAAATACATAAATAAATTCGGAAATATAATTATATATAATACTAAGCTGTTAAAGTCAGTATTTTAAGAAAACAAACAAATATTTTAGACAAAATTATGTTGACGAAGACTTAAATGCACCATAATTATGTAAGAAGGGGAATTCTTTAAATAAAATTGTCATAACGATAAAAGTAAAGACTGAATTGTAGAACTAAGAAGAAATGGAAGAAGAGAACTGAGATAGAAAAGACGTAAGTAAAGAAAATTGAAGAAACAGTATGGGAAAAATATGAAATATTTTCATGGCACTTTAACAAACACGTTGAAAAAGTAATTCGACAAGAAAAGTAAACAAATCCCTAGGATCAAAAGAAAAGTGATCACGGTACATAAACTTCTGAATGTTATTCATAATCTCTGATTTAGTTTGTTCTTCGTACAAATAATACTTCTCTGGTAATTTGATCGCACCATAGAGATTGCGAACAGTCTGTTGCGACTTAAGATCGGGTTTACCATAATTTGTCTACAGTTAGAAACATGTATATAAGATGATTAAATACACAATTTTGACAGTCAGTAAAACAAAATAAATTCAGTTCTGCCATGTAAATTTAATAAAATAAAATAAAAATAATGGTCTAAGCAATGATAAACGTTGCTTACTTGCCGCACCACACAACACAACACCAACATTTCATCTATGATTTGACAATACTACTTGTATACGTCAAAACCCAAGCATTTGACTAAATCTTGACAACTGAATAACTGGTGGCATATATTATGAATCGATAGGCGAATCGATAATATGTGTTATACTGCCTAATCAAAATTCCGATTACAGATTAGTTCACCCATATTCCCAATAGGACCGGTGACTTAACAATTACCAAGACACACTGACTAATGAACAACACCCAAGACCTCAATGCTTATTGACCGTCGAGCTCCATCTAACCCAGTAGCCAATTAGGAGACGCGTATAGAAAGTAGATTTATTATCTATTGTGCTCAATTCAATTATCACTCAAAACTCACTCAATAATATACTTGAAATGCCTGACCATACAGCACAAAAAATAAGAGATTATATTTTAAGAACAATCATGCCGTAAATGGCAGAGAGCAAGGTTAATAATGCATAACTAATTGATAATAATTGAGAAACGGGAGGATTCAAAACAATGGTTACTAGGTCTACTGGGAGATCACAATAAGGGGAATATACAAATGCAACAATAAAAATATAAGTAATGGTTGGAAAACTGGTTCCAACATTTACAACTTTTCCAATATTCGTACCAGTATAAAAGTATACGAATACCAAGATGAACGGAGTGATGACTAGATTCTTATCATTTTCATTCAAAAATTAGTGATGGATAGTTGTTTTTTGTTCATGTACAGGCATTAACATCATGAAAGACTGAAAACATACAGTCCAGGTATTCAATAACATAAGGTGATTGGTTAAATTAGAAGTATATTGGTTCATGAATATTGACGAAGAACATAGGAATGGAATAAAATATGGTAAATTTACAATATTCAATAATAGACCACATAGCATAAAAAGATTTTCGATTATAGTCCCTTAAATTTACTAAAGGACTTCATTTGAATGTTTGAAGATTGTAGTTTTATCTACACATTAAAAGTATTCAAACTAGGGTATGACAAAACAAAGATTCCGTGTGACCTGTGCAGGAATAACTAAGAAATGGAAGTGTTTAAGAACGTAAAAAGCTACAAAATACAACCTGACACATGAATCACAGGAAAGACCAAAATTTTGAAAATGGCGTAAATAAAGTTACTTGACTAAGATAGTTACCGTAAAATTTTAATTAAAACTTGCAAGCGGTACACAACAATTTTGGATGGACTAAGTGTAGGTAAGCAGTATAATTTCATATGATTTTGATAAAGCATCAGCCAGTTCAGAAGTAAATTTGAAAAAGAAACTAATAAAATGCTATCCATCAAAATAGGAACGAATAAGAGAAACAATTGGAACAAAACTAGACATTGGCCAAATATCAGATACTCATAAAATATGTCTTGGGAATAGCAGTCGCAATCTCATTATGCATATATCGATGTCAACAAAATTATGACTATTTTAGGATACACGTAAGTGTTTTGTACTGACATGGACCAATACGCAAAATAATGATCACTGTAGTTATCGATAGATCATAGGGATTTGCTTTTAGAAACGGGTGGGAGGAATATGGGTAACAGACAGACGCAAACACAGCTAGGAAATAAATTGTCATAAATTCACAAGGAAAGACCAGTTTGGTGCGTCAAAGTGAACCATATTCAAATATAATATGAGGGCACATCTCGCGTTCTGACAAGGCGACCGTAAACAAAGTTATGAAGAAACCATTGGATGTTCAATGACTTGGTAATAAACGTGAATACTTCCAGTACTAATTAACGTTAATAATGAATAAAGACATCGTATTCTTTTACTTAACCTCAAGTTTCTCAAGTTTAGACTCATCGAGATTTATTAAATATGCAGCTACTGTGTATAGACATAACACTGAAAACAGGAAGACAAAACACCGAAAATATCAATAACCCTATTATGGGCACAAAGTAGTGATACGGTGGAAAAACGATAAATGTAAAATTATGGTAAGTAGTAATCTATTAATAATTATTGGAAGTCTATTCATACTCAATAACAACTTCCCATTAGGGTTGATTTATAAAGTGACACCTTCAAGCTTAAATGAAAGCAAACCATTTGTCATCGTCATTTATCTTTACAAGCGTACTTCTACATGTTAACTGATTAACCAGACGTTCACCATTTTTCTTTTGATGGATAGGTGTTATGGTAGATTGAATGCATTCAAAAGTAAATTTCGTAAAAGTTATATTAACTTAATAAGCAGCAGCTCAATTCCGTAGTTGACTTGATAAATATATTATAATAACAATAGTCACAAGGTGATTGGGATATCTTATTCAATATTTATAACCGACTTTATATTATTACACAGTTGGGTGTCTTATACTTTGATGATTAATACCTCGTGATAAAACGTAGCTGAAGGTGTATAACCAACATATAATATATGAAGTAATCCACAATAAGAAACATATCTACGATCATACAATAAAAAAGAGATAATGGTGGGATGTAACAATCCAAAAAATACAAACACAATTTATTTCGACGATAAGATAATTTTAAAATGAAAGAAAATCCCTTTTACTTTAAGTATTTTATATTGTTCAGGTGAAAGGTATTTTAACGCTTCAACAATTAGCCATGTACATTTGCCTTCTGCTATATCAGTCCCAACTTTTCCAGTAATTTCACTGTCACCAAAACAATCTAAATAGTCATCCTATTGTGAAATGACTTTAAAGTATTTTAGTTACCTGGGCTTGAAAGTAGTTACCCAATTTAAGGAGGATGTATTGAACATTTTTGAAAATATCATCTGTATCATCAACTTCAGCCTATTTTTAAGAAAAAAATTTCAAAGAAAACTGTATATTAAACAGAATGCTATTACTTCTTTGATGTTAACAAACAAGATGAAAGACAAGAAGTATAACCACCGTTTTTAATCGGTTTATTCAACTTGAATAATGAATGAAAATATATAAAATTTTGAAGGCAGCATTTATGAAATAATACTGAAATCCTTTCTTCTGTTGAGAAGAATGAGGATCTCAGCTGCTCAGTATGTAGGTAATCTACTATGAAGGTTCTAATAAGTTATGGGACTTGTTAATATCAGTAATATAATGACCATTTATGATATGGGATCACAGGTCCTTATATGCTAATAACGTAAAAAGGCGTAGTTCAGTGGTTAAAGCTTCTGACTCTCAGCCGCTAGATTGCAGGTTTGAACGCCACTCTATCTATTTTAGTTCGAGCAGCTAGGCAGCTTTACTAGTCTTCAGACGTAGAATGGGACTCGGAACGAAGGACAAAAACCTGTGGTTGGTAAGTTGAGTTGAATAAATGGGAAATTTAAGTGATATGACTTAAAATCAATTATATTGGCTTACATGCATTCAGTTTTCATAAGTATGAAGGCTAGATAACATTGGTGATTACAAACAATGACTTTGTTAGAACTAAAACAAAATTTAAAAACTTTGATCTTTATATAAAGTATATTACACAAATGTTTTTATTACGAAAGTTATTCAGTCTAACAATTGATGTACGAAGTAAAAATGTACATTTTGCAGTTTAAAATCCTTAATAAATAAGAGAAGATAATAAATGAAACGGAAATAATTAAGTTAACTTACCAAAATCATTCCACACGCTACAGGTAGATAAAAAGTATAATAACCCGTCTTCCAGTGTGTTATAGCTTCAAAGACATCTGATGAGTAGTTTCGAGCAAAACTATCAAACTCCAAATTATTCTGTTTTCCGTTCAAAATACATTGATTATTAGGATTTGCTGATAGTACATCCAAGCATTGGCCAGAACACGTTTTGTAACTAATTTCATCAAACAATTTGCATAATTTGAGATATACGTTATTTTTGTCCTTCCATGAATATGAATCAACATTACTTTGATTTTCAGCAAATAAAGAGTGGATCAAGTATTTCGATGATAAAATCAGATGTAAACCATCATTAACTCCAATTAATCCACGGTTTAAATCTATCTGAGTACAATGCCAACACGGTTGGCCCCGTCTAAGTGTAGAATTGTCAATTATATCATCCAAAACAAGGAATCCTGCGTGTAACTAGGGCACAGACAAAACAAGAAACTTTAAGTCATTGGATAGAAAACAGTCAGTTTTAACGCGATCATAGACTCACGTAAAACATACTACTGTTTAGAAATGGGGTACACTGACCAGCGTCTTGTCAACTTCTGAGAATGGTTGTCAGTATGCATAGGTTTCCATTTTAATAGCTACATATAGGGCTTTCGGACATCTATCATCTACATTATCAACTTATGACCCATAGTCTGATTTCGATAGTTGTCATTAAGTAAATAATCAATCTGCGACACGACGACTTATCTTATGAAGAAATAAGTGCTACTGAGGCTGCCAAATACCATGTTCGTTTCCCCAGAAGTCAAAACTTCTTAATCCAGTTCGTGTGGCTCTTTTTTAGTGGCATGCTGTACCAGAAGGTATATGTGATATGAATAGAAATAAATTCTAATTTAAATGGATCACCTGAAACCAATCAACCTCCAACTTGAGAACGAAATCCGAGTTAAAAGGCTGATAATACTAGGATAACATTACGGTGGTTGAGAGCCTCAGTCACTGGAACATACCTTACTAGTCCAAAAATCAATAATCTCACCAATGAATTTAAAAGCATTGAGTTCAATCTTGTGGGGAAACGTACATAATACATAACTCTATTGGTACGTGGATTAACAATATGACCGTGATTTTCACGGATGTTTTTGACTAATATCAGGATATAAGGGCAATTAACTTCAAAAAAAGTCAATTGAGGAAACTAAAATATTTACCAATTCGACACACCAACCAATAAGATATGCACACGACAAGTTTTTCCTAGAGTTTTCATTTTTATTGCTGAACACCATATACGAAAGGACAACTAACACTCCTCGAATTCGTTTGCCACTAGATAAATTATACGAAGTTACCTGAAAAACATGAGATTAAGACAAGGACGATGTCATAAGATGACTAGAAACAAGAACGGTATTAAGATTAAATTGCTTTCCGGAAAAAAATATTGATTTGAAATAAATTACGTCCAGAATTTGTTACCTATAAGAAATCATATATAGCTTGTTTATAGGATTGAGCATCCTAGGATAACGAAGTCATTCTGCACTTGTGAAGTAATAACTAAGTACCTGAGTAATAACATAAAGCGATGTGTACTAAAGAAAAACACCGAATGCTCTTGTTAACTAAACATTGATTAGGTTGGTTGATGAGGTAATTTATATAATTGCTTGACGGATGCTTATTAAAATATACCCAATTGACTGAACGGATTATTTATTATTTATGTTCTAACTAACTAACAAATATCTCGAACAGTGGCACATATAATCGGTACTTTTTGATCTTTCAGTAACCTAATGTAAATAAACAAGATAACTTACGATATATTTAGTGACATAATTAGAACGAATTAGAATGAGTCAAGGTTGTTCATTCTGTTGCCTAAATAATGAAAAAGATCCTTGCAAGATAACCTGTGAGAGCGAAGATCTTGGTAAAGCCTAATGTACTGATGAAAGAATAAGTAAAAAAATGAACACTTACATTTTGGAAATGTTGTTCTGCCAATTGAAGACTTTTTGGATGGTCATGATGTAACAGACTGACGAATGTATTAAAGTAATTTTCAAAGTTTTCTTTAACTTCTCGATATTTATTATGTATATCAGAGGTTGGCATTACGTGCCTTTATAATTCTATCAAGTCAAAAAAAGTTTCCGAAATTGACACCTTAGTCAAGTTAAGAGAGAATTAACAACAAAATGTAACTGAATGAATGCCTAAGAATACACAATTTCAACATGAAATCGGGATTATATTACCCAAGTTCACGAGCTTTGTTCTAAACGCTTACCAATAAAAAAAGTGTAGGATGTTTTCGGTGTCTTATGGAACTGTCCTAAAATAGGTTGAAAAATATACAAATTGAACGAGATATTCCATGTAAATCGTGCTCTGTATGTCACTTCTCAACAGGTATTTTCATTTCTTAAAGACCAGTCAATACTTAGCCAAACTGATGTCCGAAAATGGGCCCCGAGTGGAAAATACCACTCGATTTTGTCTACTTACTTCCAATCCACTTTAGAGAAGATACTCTGATTTGGTAACGGAATGTATTATTTGTAGACATCTAACACGTCCTTTACTGCACAAAATTAAGGTCTAGCCTCTAGTGCAAACTATCGATGAACACAACTAAGAGGGATTTATAGATGGATCTACGTTTGATAATCATCTGTTAAAAATAACTGAGAAGTCTCTGTAAGTGCAAAGTCGTATAAATATGTTAGCTGAGGTACAGTATGGTTAAAAAAACCAGAGCGATATATAACAAACCAGGAAATCCTGAGTATTAGTAAAGTACTACTCTAGCTTCGAAAAAAATTTTAAGTGAACGTTTAGGATCATTCTGTGCTTGTAAACCCCAGTATCCGTTTACTATTGTTATTTCTGAGTTACTATCAATTGACGACAAAAACACCCACTGAGTTTTGGGATCTAGAGACACATTTTTGTATAATGCAAAATTCTGTTTGGATGTCTCGAGGAAATATAACATTTCCTGTCTAAAGAGGCTTAGGAAAAACTACTTTTCCAACTCAAGGACTACAAGCAAGCGGCAGTGATGCTACGAGTTCAGGGTGGTTTTATAGGATGAAGATATTTCTAACCGAACCTACACAAGACAGTTGGGTAAGACTCTAATTTATGGACGAGCAAATCAGAAGCGTCTGAAGAATTGGAAAGCGTATAGATGCCTCCATAGACTTGGGTTTGTGCACCCTAACCCTATGCAATATGATTTCAGGACATCTGAACCTTTATCTAACCTTAACAAGTTTTTAAATCATGTAAAAGAAGAATATCTGCTGTAATTCATAAGTATTTTATAATGTTTTTACTTTATTCTAACTCTCTTCTGATTGGCTAATAGTTTCAAGGTCACTTAAAAATTCGTTCAAAGGCCGTCCATAAAATATAGTCCTACAGGCAGATGTTTGGGATCACGAGATATAGGTTTCGACGTCACCAGCAATTCTAAGCCCAATATTTTAAGGTTTTTCAACTGGTGGAAGCGTATTTGAGCACTTCTAGGTGGTTAAATGTAATTTTCTAAGTTGTTGGGTTCTCAATCTTCCTATTCTGAGTTGATTTTAGGGGTCTCCCTGAAGTGTTTTCGGGCAAATATTGGGGTAAACCCTAAAGTTCTCCAAAAGTTCGAGGATCTTCCCCAGATCTGGAGGAACGTTTGGGGTTTTCGTGTCACTTTTCTAGCATTTTCTATTGTGGCTTGCCTAAAATTAATCGAAAACGGGTAGATTTTCCCCGAAAATAGGGAGCATGGGTTAATGACAAACTAACTAAGGGTATGAGGAATATTGCTCAGACCTCGTAGAATATTGTGAGCTTGCTACACAAAAATGTTTAAATATGGAATTCATTTACAAAATATACTATCCTCAGGTATAACACAGGTAGCGAAAATGTCATAATAAATAGACTAAACAGAACACTTAAAAGTACATTAAAATCGAGTGAAAAAGCCTCCAAGGAAACCTAACTAGCTTAAAAATTTCCAAGTTCTGATTGGCCGTTTCTGTCATTTTAGAGTAAACAAATCACTATTGACTTTGTCATACATAACTGCATCAGTTGGTTGGAATCGCCGCTGGAGTAAATACCCCGATAATATGTGAGTAAATCCTTGGCACAATTAGCCCTCAACCAACTGCATATGGACAATTAAAGGTATTGATCCAAGCAATTGATCAATAATTCCAAACAGAAGATGGTTCCTACCTTACCGTGTCACTGTTACGACACATTCGAATCCGTTCCTCAAATACTTGATGCTTCAAAGTGTTGTCTGACGGAATATAGATAGGCCGAAAAAGCAAGAAAACTCTATCTACTTAAAAATTTGCCGTAGCATCATTAGATATAAAGATGCCACATATATTCAGGGTAGCCAACCTTTCGTCTGTGACAACTATATAACTGAATGATTCGAAACCCAATCAGATCAGAAGTAAGGGATGGATGAGTTCAAAGATGTATTTTTAAGGCATTCTATATTTAGAGAGGCGTTTGATCTAAACTAGCTAGTAGTTGTGAGTAGTGTGTAGTACGGCGTACTCATTTATGATCTGGTACGGATACGTGACCAAGTGCATTCAGCGACGTCATGTCCAGTAACGCCGACGAGGTCAGCAACAGTTCCGAAGACTTATAGAAATGCCTGTCCTACAGATTTACTTACCGATACAAGTGCTACAAGTCATTCAAAATTCGTTCGTTTGGCTATATACTCACAAATAGGTTATTTCAGCTTTGAGTTTAATCTTACAAACTTACAGGTTATCAAACGTACATACTTTAACCCAGGTTCTAGTTCACATCTTGGTAGTCCAGTGAGAGATCTGATCATAGCCGTAAGTACCAGAACGAGTAACTAGAACTACATAACTAGTATCACTTTCTCAGATTAAAAGGGTTAAACAAACAAAAGATCCACAATCGAATTCTTCAGTCATTGCCTCTGCATTTTCCACATTTGCTCAGATTCATTTCTTTGAAATCTTGATAAGGGGTCTTTCTTTCCAGTCGATCGGCACTTGTTCTTCCTTCCAAATCTTCCTGAGAAGAACATGAAGCATGCTTGCAGTTACTTTTGTCTGACTTTAGTGTTTCAGCTGGTATGTTGTCAGGTTCTGCTGCTTTCTCGCTCTTTATTCGTCTGATGGTCATCCCGATTTCTTCCTTCGCTGGTGGAGTGACGTCCATAGGAAGATCTGTGGATGCTTCTTCGATACCCGTTGGGTGCAGTGAGGCTGGCCTATTCAAGAGTTCCTCAAAGTGCTCTACCCGTCTGTTCCTCTTTCCTTGAGTCTTAGTAATTGTCTTGCCTTACTTGTCTTTGACTGGTCTCTCTGGCTCACTATACTTCCTTGCCAGTTTCTTCGTTGTGTCATATAGCTGTCTCATACTTCCTTCTTTTCCAGCCTTTTCCGCTGTTGTTGCTAGGTCTTTCACATATTTCTGCTTGTCGGGTCTAATGCTCCTCTTCGATTGCTTCTGTGTATACAGTTTGTTCCTTGGCTTTCTCTGCTCTTGTTCAGCTATTGTTAATTGCCGTTTCGTTCTTCCTTTCTCGAATCTTGTCTAAGGTTTCTATAGAGATCCATTCCTTATGATGATGTCTGATGCGTCACAGAACCTCCTGATACGTTGTAGTTAGTTTTTCCATGCTCATATTTGCTATCATAATAATAGACCTAATCCTAAAATTGTAGATTCGTCATGATGTGGCCACCTTATTTACAAGATCCCACGTGAAAGTCACGCGATTCCCTTTTCTAACTCGTTTTTTCGTGACAATCACCAATATGACATCTATCACCGTTGATGACACATTTGTGCCGGGCAGAAAGTACTACATTCAATACAAAATGCATTAGGTTTTACGTAGTGACCACACTTGCAAGGTCATGCCATTTCGAATCATTGCTTCCGTGTTCACAATTACTAATTTTTTCTTTGTGTTAGATGCTGAGTGTGACTTTTCTCAGTCATCTTGTGTTCACCCTCGAGTATCGTGTGGTTAGGACTGATACCACTACACCACTCTTCCACTAGATTATCTCACTCCGGAGGTTACCGAGAATAATAAGAAAAGTTCGGGTATTGATGAGCTGAAATATAAATCAAAAAGGCGTCAACAACTAATCAGAAAATAGACGTAATAGCCTTAAAATATCAGTTTTATCGCTTAACAGGCTGAAAAAGAAAATCTAAGTGAAGATTATATAGGAGTTGATATGATAATTAGGAGTATTTGAGCTATAGCACGATCTAAGAATCCCAGAAATAACGCCATTGGATCAAGAAGTAATAGATAAGCACGAACGAATGTACTATATTTGAAATCTAATTGTCTGTAATCGATTGTACGTCTTCTTAAGTTCATCCTGTATCTGTCCGACAGTGTATTGAATAAAGACTCTGTATTATCTAGAATGTGCTCATTAGTGTTAGAATTAACAACCGAAATCGAAACAGACTCACCTGCATCCTGGGATTGTGTACAATCACCGTGTTAGTTGTGCGCTGAAACCACTGCCACCTTGTATTTGAATCATAGACTTTCAGACTATCCTCCCCCACGAAATAATGTTGAATTTTCATATCCTCAATTTATGAATGATGTGGTTTCATTTAAAACATATTTCTCACATTGGTTAGAGTAAACATTAGAAGTGTTTTTGTGATAAGGATAAACAGCAGTTGATATGAAACCATCCGAATTGTAATCAAAATCGAAATCATTTAGTACTTGTTCTTCACACTGATCAAGTTTCCCACAAGAAACGAATGCATTATGAGTACAAATAATATTTGATATGACATCAAGATTTGATTCTCCTGAAATAGTTTCCTCGAGTTTATTAAGAATGTCATTGCAGAGTAAAAGATGATTAGAAAAATCAGCATCTATCAAATCTACATCAGGCTTTTGATCATGATTAGGTTCACTCAATACATTTTCCTCAGATTTGCGAGGAATTTCGTCAGAAATATGTGAATCATTGGAAAAGGCCATATTTGGTACAATAAAATTAGAAACCTGGTAAGTTAATTGATTAGAAACTGCTATCTCACAATGATTCTGAGTCCCATTTAACTCTGGTTTACTAC